GCCCCGGAAGAGCACCGCACGTCGCGGGGCACGGGGCGCGCCGCGGGGCGAGCGCGTGGCATCGCTCGGACGCGTGCACTTTTTTCTCGGCGGGGATGTTTTCTTTTTCGTCGACGATCCCCCTGTAGGGGGACACGCCCGACTTGACGACATACGCATCCCGGGCGCGCCATGGCGAGATGGTTTGGGCCCGCGGCTGGAAGAAGGAGTCCATCGGAGATCGGCGGGCGGCGAGGAGGAGGGGCTATAATTAGCCCGAAGGGCTTGGCGCCTTACCCTTGGCATCGCTCGGACGTGTGCACTTCTTTCTCGGCGGGGGTGACGAAGGAGCAAAAAGGCACAGGGAATGGACGTCCGAGCGACGGCAAGAGCCAGGCTCCTCGTCGGGCGGGGCGCCACGGGCGTCGGCTCTTCGCTTCCTGCCCTCCCCGGAGCCTGCACAGGCCTCGTGGTATTCGACGGAGGAAAAGGCACCCATGCCGCCACCCTAGCCACGTTTTCCCTTTTTTGGGCCTCCTGGGTGGCCCTCGTCGCCACCGCTGGCTTCGCCTCGAAATCCTGGTCAGAACGCACCCCAGGAGAGGTCCGGGGAGCAGCGGTATCGGTACCTCTTGGCTTCCCCAGGACCTCCTGGTATGGCACAGCACAGACGGGAGCTCGTGTGTCTGCGTGTGCCGCTGCAGGCGGGCTGGATCCTACAGTCAACCCGCACAGGAGGAGGAGGAGGAGGAGGAGGGGGGAGGAGGAGGAGGAGGAGGAGCAGGAGGGAAGTGGCAACCTTCCCGAGGGTACCGTTGCATCCTTGCCCCTTCGGCCCATCCTCAGCGACTCTCGCTGGCCAACCTCGCTCGAAGAGCGCCAGTGTGGCCGTCCGAGGCCCCCTCAAGGAGATTCGAAGCGGCCGTCCGATGCCCGCTGCATCCTGACTGCACACCCTTATCGCACGGGTCGACTGCAGTCAGCTTCAGGGGGTCCCCCCTCGAGAGGTTTTAGAACGGCCGTCCGAGGCCCTTGCATCCTTTTCGTGCGCCCGTATTCCACGGGTCGACTGTATTCAATTCCAGTTTGGGTGGCCCAAGAGGGGGTCCAGCTGAAAGGGGGTGGTGTAATCGCCTTCGGGCAATTGTACTGCAAATGTGTTGCGCGGGAGAGATTGCATTGCACGCGAAAATCCAGCAATACATTTGCGCCCTGGAATGTACTGCACGCCCCAGATGCATTGCAACCTCACAAACCTATTGCACCAGATCTATTGCACCACCCCCGTGCCGCTGGACCCCCTTTTGGGTCAACCCGATTCAGTCGGGGGTGGATAGAGAACTCCTTCCCTGACACGTCGATTAGTGAATTGGCCGTTTTCGGTGCGCGCGTGGGCGTCGCGGCCGTCCTTTCTGCGGGTCCAGCTTCGTCGGTTTCGGTCCTAGGCCGTTTTCACTAGAGGGAGGTTTACTGACGGGAGGTTTGTCCACCGCCGAGTGAGGAGGAGGAGCGAGGAGGAGGAGGACGAGGAGGAGGAGGACGAGGAGGAGGAGCGAGGAGGAGGAGGAGGAGGAGGAGGAGGAGGAGGAGGAGGAGGAGCGAGGAGGAGCGAGGAGGAGCGAGGAGGAGCGAGGAGGAGGAGGAGGAGGAGGAGGAGGAGGAGGAGGAGGAGCGAGGAGGCTTGTCCTCTGGCGGCTTGTCCTCTGGCGGCTCGCCCGAGCCCCGCAGACCTCTGCTTGTCCTCTGCGGCTCGCCTCGCGGGGCGCCGGGCCGCGCACCGGCCGCCCGGCCCTCGGGCCGCCACGGGTCGTTGGCCTCTCCGGCGCCCGCTCGAGAGGGTCTTCAGAGGATTCCGGGAGGGCTTTGGAATACAGCCGCGGCCCTGCAGAAGGAGCCCTTTTCGTTGGGGAGGGGCTCGATGCTCCTTGATTCTTCTACAGTTTGCCTTCTGTTGTCCTGAGGTTTCCCATGGGAAATCGAAGTTCAATGTATGGGAGAAAGGGGCCCCGTTCCTTATTTAGGGTTCCTTAGGTCAACGCCCCGACTGTAGTCACCGGGCGCGTTCCACTACTCGCAAAGTGCCTACTCGCAAACGTCCCAAAGCACACACGTCTGCTTCGATGCAGTTAGTCGCAGATCCCCCGCGGCGGATCCAGGCCATTTGCGAGAGGCTACGTCGCGAGCAGTGGAGCGCGCTCGTCTGAATGGTGTTCGTCGTTCTGGGGGGGGAACCAGTCCCGAGCGAACCCTGAGCTTTCTATTGGCACGGGTCGACTGTACCACCCATGGGGGCGCGAGGATCCTCGCGCGTCGCGCGTCGCGGTCTGGACTTTCAGGGCCGCCCTGCCCCAGGGGGCGCGAGGGCGCGGGGGCGCGGAGTTCCGCCCCAGGGCGCGAGGGCGGGCGAGGGCGCGAAGGTGCAGCCAAGACGCCGAGAGGAGGAGAAGGAGGAGGAGGAGGAGGAGGAGGAGGAGGAGGAGGGGGGAGGGGCAAGCTAGGTGCGCTCGCGTCATATCTGACA